AATCTTTGTAAATGTCGTGGAGGTTAATCATGTTTGAAAGCGAAGAAACATTCTCGACAATCTTTTGCATCATGGGGATTTCCTTGGTTAACAATGTCATACCCCCAAATTTTGGCTAGTGACTAAAATGTAAGTTTTGAAAGTTTGGTGGCTAAATTATAATTTTGTTGAAAAGTTATATATTTTAGTCTGTAAATGAATAGTTTGGCCTAAAACAAGAATTTTCGTGGCAATCAGATTTTTGGTACGATATTTATGTTAACAGCGATAAAGCGATAAAATTCAGTATATAAATCAAATAGTCGAATCAAATCAGAATTTTACGAAAATTGTAAGGATGCTAGATAAGGGTTGGAAATATTATTTCCATATTTTAGATCAGATAAATTCAACACATATCAGTGTAATTTTTTAGATTTGGCCTAACAATGGAAATTTGGAGACTAAAATGCAATTTTCAAAAATTGCATGGCCAAAGTAGAAAGTAAAAGTCAAATTATTCATCTTTGACCAAGGAATATTTGAATGGAACATATTGCAATGGTAATTGGTAAATATCAAGTTTCGTTAATGGAATTTTGGGGATTTCTCTCATTAATTAAATTTTAAATTCAATTAAATTAGTTTAAATGCCATGTGTATTATGAAAATTACTAGAAAAATCAAGAGCACGTCTTCTCCATAAGCTTGCTTCCGTGAACCCCTACAAGGTTAGAAAAAATTTCTTTTTCATTTTAAAGCTATTTTAGTAGGATTTTGGATTAAGTTGTGAAATATGAAAATGTTCTCCATCAAATTCTCTATTATTTGGTATAAGAAATACATGCTAAACATGTTTGTATGATGAGATAAAGGATTTGGGTTCATGAAGAACATGTTTGATTTTGAATAATTTATGTAAGATTTTTATGTTAGTGGTGTTATGTAAGATTTTTATGTTAGTGGTGTTATGGATTAATTCTAAAGTATGGGTGATGATCAAAATGATGTGTAGATGCTTATATATTATTTGGCCATGGCTAGGGTTTTAAGAGATGATTGGATTTTGATTTAATTTGGTGTTGTGATGATTATAATAGAATGAATTTGATCCAAGGAAGTTGAATTCATGCTTGAAATTGAATGAAAATTTTACCCTATGTTCATAGTGAGATTCGTTCAAGGGGAGAAAATTAGGGGGAAATATTGAAAATTTTCCTATGGTCTATTATTGATATTATAAGTGTTCTATGTGATTTGGAGATCAATTTGGAAGCTTGAAATAGAAAAAGGGCTAGTTTGCAAGTTATGAGAATTGTGGGACTTTAATGTGTAAATGTACAATTTGAGGTACTCAATGTTGATTTATAATGATTATAATGCTGTAAATTTTATTAGTATACTGATTTTTGGAGTTTAAATATTGGTTTGGGATCAAATTTCAAGTTTATTAAAGTAGGTGGTTGAAGTAGAAAAGTCTAAGAAAGTTTAGGATGAAATTGTAAGTTTTTTAATGTTAAAGTATTGATTTGAGTAATTTATTAAGATGTTGGAAATTTTGGTAATTAATGTGCAATTATCATTCAATTTTACTTTTATAGATTTTTATATTATCAAAGTTAGTTTATGTTAGTATTTTCAAAAAAAAATATGTTAGTATAATACTAACATATAGTTCGAATACTTTGTATTATTATGTGTTGTTGTTAGACCACGATAAATCTAGGGATCCAAATGATCAGAAAGAAAAGGATAAAGCACGTGATTAGAAGTATCACATAAAATGTTCGGTAGTGAGGCAAATGTGAGTGCAGTTTATTTATTTAATTATTCTAATCGAGGACGATTTGCGATAAGTCAAACTCATACTATTTTAAAAGTATGATTTATAATTTTTAATTGTGGATTATTTTCATAATATTGTCATCAAGTATATATTTAGGGTATGATCTGCCCAAGTACGATTTTCATGATGATGAATTTTAAATGTTTATGATTTTTAAGACGTTGATTAATAAATGATTATATTATGATTTATAAGCCCGTTGTATGTTGCATTGGGAGTCGTAGGTACATTTAGTATGTCATTAAGTTGAGTACATTCAAGTTAAGTTATAGTACAATCGTGTACATTATGATTAGCATCGTTGGTGCATATGTGATGATTTGCACTTGAAGTGCATCTTATGATGATTTACGACTGGCATCGTGTAGTGCCTAATGCGTACATTGTATTCTCTTAAATATGCATTGGGCTGAGAATATGAAATATGTCGAATTGGTAGGAATTATGACACGAATATTTTATATGATAATGTTTATTATGATTTTTATAAAATCATGAAATGATATAAATTTGCAGGTTTACGATGAAGAATTGGCTTGATTAAGTCAGTTTGAAAGTTTAAAGTTTTGTTTGAATTATTTTTAATATTTTATCATATTTATGATATTTTCATGTTTTATCTCACCTTAGTTTATTACTGCCTCACTAAGTTGTACTTAGCGCGTGATATTTTCATGTGTAGGTTCAAATAAAATGTAGGACATGCAATGAGGAGCCTCTCGAGCATCTTTTGGAGAATCACACCTATCATTAGTATCAGTAAGACATCTATGATGTTACTTTTGACTTTTAGTGACATGTATAATTCTATCACTAGTTTTACTTATCATATTTACTTTTAAATGGTCTGTAATAGTAATCTAGGACCATTTTAATTTGTCTGGTCTAGTTTTATCAGTATTTATGAATGAATATATATATTACGTTTAAAAATGGTTTGAAAAGTTAGTGGAATTTAGTCAGTTTTAAATATTTTACGAAACAACACTAAACTGTCTAATTGGTGCATGAATATAGGATTTGTTTTTAATGTTTAAATATTATTTTACGATTACATGTGGTAATTGAAATAGTTATAAAATTGAAATAGGATTGTTTTAAATTGAAAAAAAATAAGCATTTATGTTTCAACAGTATTTATAAGGTTGATGTAACATCTTTAACTCGTATTTCTAGACGTATACGGGTTATGGGTGTTACAAACAACATGTTGGAGATAAAAACATAATATTGTGTCATCAATAACACCGTCATTGAAGAAGCTCTAGTTTTCTTGGCTCGAGGCGGTGGTATCGCCATGGTGGTGAATCTTTTCAAAGTTTTAATGGCGAATTCTATGCATTTTTCACGATCTTCGTTACTTTTCTATAGTTTTTCTTACAACTGAGAACTCGCCTAATTTGACTTCAAATAGATACAACTAATAATTAGAAACAAGAAAGCTATTGCAATGGATTAAAGATATCTGAAGAAGAAGCAGGGAGAAGATGAGCAATATTGGGGGTTTGGAGAAAAATATTAAAAAAATGAGTAAATTGAAATGTTGTTCCTAAAATAATTTGAATTTATAAAAAATGCATAATCAATATTTTATCTAAAGTTTAGGGGTTAAAATAATAATTAAACCATTTTACTAACGGGCCACATCATGAAACTAACGACATTCAAATTTCAAGTGAACAAAACCTAATAAAACGATAACATAAGTGACCAAAACTTAATAAAACAATAACATAAGTGACCAAAACTTATGCTTTTTAAATTTGACGATCAGAAGTGTACAAATATGAAAGGAAATTGACCAAAACTTAACTCACGCGTTATCTATGTGGAAATGATGTAATTTTAATTTTATATATTTATCGTGCCACGTCAGCAAACCATTAAAGGTTTAACGACCGTGAACTTTCAGTGACCACATCTTAACTAAAACAAAATGAAAGTATTATATGCTTAATTTTGTTTCTAATAAGGTGGTGACACGTGTTACCACCTTATTAGTTGAATAAAATAATTAAACGATAATATAAATATAATTAAAAAAATGCCACGTCAGCTCTGCCTTTAAAGTTTTAACGGCGGGGTACTAAAACAAATAAAAACAAAACGTTAGGTATGATTTTATAAAAATTAAAAGTTTAAGTACTAAAACGAACCAAAAGTAAAACTTTAGGTACTAAATGCGTATTTTACCCTTATTATTAAAATTTTCTGTTGACTGGTAGTGAGCAGGTCGTCTCTTCCAGATTGAAAATGATGAGTGGGGGCAGGAGGGTCATTTCGCTCGTCAAGGTCAATGACCCCTTCCCATTGGTCGACACTCGGAAGTGCAACGTCCCCACGTTTGACCAACATCGGACCATTCATTTCAATGCTTCCTGTTTCATCGTCATGTCATAAGAGGACGGAGCTGAAAATAATAATAGAATGATAGAATTTCTTTTTCAGTAACATCATTTACTCCTTTAACTACGTTACTTGTTCTGTTTGATGATGTGCGAATGCAATTCACTCAAAACAACAAACCCATACAGCCATACTTGTATCAATCTCCTCATTCACTCAAATATATTTATGCTTTCATACCTTCTTCTGTAGATCCAGCTTTGAATTAAACCCCAAATTCATTTAATGGTGGATTTGTCAGCGGAATTCTAAGCTAAAATTATTAGAATGATCAATAATACATTTGGGCTAATAATAGATTGCAATTTCCAGACGACAGCTGATAAGCCAAACAAGCGCCATCTTACTCTACAATTTGCTTACACTTGAAGACAAGTTTCTGTTTCAAAATAAGATTTTAAAACTTCATTTGTCTAACCAAGTACGTGGCATGATGAATGACTAATGTTATTATAAATTAAACTAATATATTTTTATTTTATGTTTAATGGAAGATATCTGAAATTTTGTTCACGAAATAGTAAAAAAAAAATTCAGTCTTGTATAATTTGAGAATATTCAATATTTAATGTATTCATAATATATATTTTTATACACCATCGATCAATTAAATAAATTATTATAAAATTTTAATATTAATTTATTTTAAATAATATATCATTATTTGATTTAACTTAACATCTAATTTCTAAAATTGTGTACTAATTAAGCTGTGCATTTTTATCATTTTAAGACAGGGCGAGCAGAGCAGATCAATTCGCGCCCGCCATCTAGATTCTAGTATAGATATAACCGAGTCACTCGCTCACTCTGTTACGAAACGCATCTCGCTGACCAAACCAAAGTAGCACCGATGGCATTTACCGACTTTTTCGCCGGGGAAATCGCGACGGAACTTCTAAAACAGTTAATCGCTATCTCACGCAAGTCATGCCTCTGCAAATCCAGTGCGGACAGCCTTATCACAAGCATCGAAGAACTCCTTCCCATCGTCAATGAAATCAAGTACTCAGGCGTCGAGCTACCAGCCATCCGTCAATCTCAGCTCGACCGTTTCTCTGAGACGCTACGCGGCGGCATCGAATTGGCCCGCAAAGTCCTTGCTTCCGGCCGTTGGAACGTCTACAAGAATCTCCAGCTGGCCAGGAAGATGGAGAAGTTAGAGAAACAAGTTTCGAGGTTCGTTAGCGGGCCGATGCAAGCTCACTTGTTGGCTGATGTTCACCACATGCGGTTCGAAACGATGGAGCGGTTCGACCGGTTGGAAGGCCGGTTGGAGCAGAGGCTCAATTCGATGAAGATCGGAGCGGGAGGGTGGGTCGAAGAAGCTGTTAAGAGAATGGAAGTTGAAGAGGAGGCTAGTTTGGGAATTATCGGTGGAGTTGGATTGGATTTAGGAAAAAATAAAGTGAAAAATATGATAATCGGAAGAGCTGATATAAACGTTGTTGGAATTTGTGGTATTGGAGGATCGGGTAAAACTACGCTGGCCAATGAAATTTGTAAAGATAATCAAGTCCGAAGTAAGTTTTTTCCTTAGACGTAAGGAGTTGATCAAATAAAGTTTTTGTGGATTCTTTTTGCCGGAAATACCCGATTGTGGAAGAACTAATTGCTTATTTTTCATTTTCTAAGGTTACTTCAACGAAAGGATTTTGTTCTTAACTGTATCACAATCACCGGATATCCAACAGTTGAGGGCAAGAATATGGGGATTTCTTACAGGAAACGAGGCCATGGGTTACACCAATAATCTGTTTATTCCTCATGGGAAGTTACAGTGTGAGTGGGGAAGTGGACCACAAACTCTGGTTGTTTTGGACGATGTTTGGTCCCTTCCCATACTGGAACAACTGATTTTCAGGATCCCAACATATAAAACTCTGGTCGTTTCAAGATTCAGGTTCTCAACAACTGTCGTTCATGAAGTTTACAAGGTAGAGTTGCTGAGTGAAGATGAGTCTTTGTCCCTGTTTTGTCACTCTGCTTTCGGGCAAACTTCGATCCCACCTACTGCCAATGAGTCTTTGGTCAAGCAGGTAATCAATTAACTTCAAGGATTACTCGATGTTCTTTTGTTGTTTATTTCTTTGCTGATGGTTGTTAAATTCTGGAGTTGGTAGATTGTTAATGAATGTAAAGGACTTCCTTTGGCACTTAAAGTTATCGGAGCTTCGCTGCGAGACCAACCTGAAATGTATTGGGCCAGTGCTAAGAAAAGGTTATTACGAGGAGAACCAATATGCGAGTCCCACGAAAACAAGCTGCTGGAGCGGATGGCAATAAGTGTGGAATACTTGAACAAAAAGGTTAAGGAATGTTTCTTGGATTTGGGATCTTTTCCAGAAGATAAGAAAATCCCCCTTGATGTTCTCATTAATATGTGGGTTGAGATACATGACATTGATGAGGAGGAAGCTTTTGCCATTCTCGTCGAGCTTGCTGATAAGAACCTTCTCACTTTGGTGAAAGACGCACGGTAAGTTGCTTGAAATTCTTTGTTTCCGGAGCATGTAGCTTGGATTGGTCTTTGTTAGTTGAGATACCTGAATGTTGCTTTCTGAACTGTATCGTGTAGGGTTGGAGATGCATACAGTAGTTTTTATGAAATCTGTGTTACTCAGCATGATGTGTTGAGGGACCTTGCTCTTCATCTAAGCAATCGAGGGGATGTGAATGAAAGAAAGCGGTTGCTTATGCCTAGAAGAGATACTGAACTCCCGAGAGAATGGGAAAGAAACACGGATCAGCCATTCAATGCTCAAATAGTTTCAGTTCATACAGGTATCATGATCACTTGTTTAATTGCTTTGCTTTAAATAAGATTGTTTGATTACCTTCACCTAAAGTCAGAACTTGGTGTTTCTATTGCAATACATGTCCTACTGTCTTTTTGCTTGTTAAATTAGAAATTTTATCATTTTTCAGGAGAAATGAGGGAAATGGACTGGTTTTGTATGGAGTTCCCCAAGGCTGAAGTACTCATACTGAATTTCTCCTCCACTGAATACTTCTTGCCTCCTTTCATAGATAACATGCCCAAGCTTAAGGCACTTATTGTGATAAACTATGGTACAACAGCAGCAATACTTAAGAATTTTTCAGCCTTCACCACTCTAGCATATTTGCGGAGCCTATGGCTTGAAAAAGTGTGGGTTCCTCAGTTGACCAACCCCACTGTTCCCCTAAAGAACTTGCAGAAACTATCTATGGTTCTTTGCAAGGTTAGTAACAACTTTAATCCATCAGTGCTAGACCTGCCGCTGATCTTCCCTTGTATATCAGATCTCATAATCGATCACTGTGATGATTTGATTAAGTTGCCATTGAGCATCTGTGAGGTGAATTCACTCAAGAGCCTGAGCATAACCAACTGCCACCGATTATGTGAATTGCCTGCTGATTTGGGTATGCTGAAGAAACTACAGATACTGAGGTTGTACGCTTGTCCAGAGCTAAAGGTGCTCCCTCCCAGCATTGGCGAGCTTATTGGGTTAAAATACCTTGATATTTCACAATGTGTTAACTTGAGGTGCCTACCTAGGGAAATAGTTAAATTAGCAAGACTGGAAAAGATAGACATGAGGGAATGCTCGCAGATTATGAGTCTACCACCAGGAAACGCCTTATCGAACTTGAAGTCGCTGCGCCGAGTCATCTGCGATGATGAAGTTTTGTGGCAGTGGAAATATCTGGAGAAGGCCATGCCAGAGCTTTATGTTCAAGTTGCGGAGAAATGGTATAGTTTGGACTGGTTGGATGGCTAAAAGTAACACTTTGTTCATATCATGTATCCGCTAATGTAAATATCAACGTGCGTAATTTTAATAAAAAGCGATCTTTTTTTCTTCTTGATTTGAGATAGTTCATCACTTGGAAATTTCGGCTACGAATATATTTCAGAAAACATTGTATCTAGCTACAAAGAACCTTTCTTTTTCAGTAGAGGCTGGTCCCCCATGTTTAATATTATCTGAGATGTTGAGTGGCGGCTGAGCAGTAAGCATTAACGAATAGTTTGATTTGTTCGAATCCAGCCAAGTCAAAGAGACAAGGGAAAAAGACGAGTGAAAAGATAAGACACGCGTGGATCCCACAACTCAGATTCTGTAAAAATGCGACCAAACCCCAAAGAATATAACCGAGGAGTCTGCGCATCCATCAAAAGTGACAATTTCATAAATGGTTGAACACGTGACTCGCAAATTCGCCAGTGTTGTACATAATATACAATGTTCGAGAAACCTGGTGAGCATATATATTCATTTAGTCTGAGGGGATAGCTGTAGAACTCCTCAGTTCTAACATCGCCTTTGCTGTGCTGGAATGGTTTCCACCATGGAACTCCTCTATCTTCCACCTGATTTGCTTCGAGGGTGTTATCAAGTATGGTCCCAACCGTTATTGCCACCGTTGCCGGCAATGAGAAGATTGTATTCATTATATCATTAAACTGCATGCATTACAATTGACTTTGCATATCAGTCAGAGAAAAGCGATTCGGTGAACACAAGCACAGTACATTTACATACCCATATGGCATTCGTTCTAACCGGTCCATGTCCATCGTAAGATGTGTTAATTGCAAAGTATTGAGGAATTGATAGCCCCAGGAACAGAGAGACACCCAAGACATAGATGTTTCTCATGGAATTGTTATTTGCAAACTGTATGAATGTGATCCCAGAAGCAGCTGCACGCGAGAAAAAAGGGGGAACAGAAATTCCGAATTAGAGAAAGAAAAAAGGGTGAAGCTTATATACCTGTTGGGAAATAACCAGCAGAACGAGCATCGGCAGGCCGATTTCCACACAGTTACCTAGCTGTCTCATAATTACATTAAGGATCAAACTAAATCAGCATATTATCATCCTGATCAAGCACAAAATCATTCATAGAGAATTACCAACGGGAAGCCTCTTGCAAACAGTCCAAGGCCAACGAGACAAACCACTGGCACGACAACTATGGGACTAAATAATCCAAGACAAAATAAGGATAAAGAGAGAACGCTTAGAAAATTAGCAGTCAAAACTTAATAGTTTACTGATCAAGACATCTCAAACATAACTGCTGAGCAGACGACCAGCTGTAAACCAAAAAATAAAAAGGTTGTACGAACTGATAGTCAAACCGGCATTCACCATTACCTTGTCAGCTCCCCCCATGCCCGGCCATACCCTAGGATGATGTTGACAAAGGAAGAAACTATCATTGATCCTTGAACGGTTCTAATACTATGAATAAAGCGCTGCAAGCAAGCACCCAGATCATAATCATTAAGCCATATGTTCATCAGCTAAGAACGTGACAGAGAATACAGGAAAACAGCAATGAGAAAATCTATTGAGCATGTAGACCAATATACTACAACACCAAGGATGATACAGCTTAACCTATAAAATAGCATTGCGATTTCGTAGGTAACTTGGATATAATCGGATTGAGCAAAAATAGTAGAGAAAAAGTAATTAAGTTCAAGTTTGAGACGCAAAAGAATGACTTCTTCAAATCAGGCATGAAATCAAGAAGCGTTCATTTGATTCATCAGCTACTATGTTCAAGTCAGGATCATTCACATTATCGATGACCTTAATAAATAGAAATCTATAACTCGTACCTAAAAACAAATTTTATATCGCATCTACCTATTGAATGAAGAATAACTCAACTTTAATACAGCACAGCACAAAAGACTTCATAATTCGTAAGTTCCTTCTGCTTATATGTTACTAAAGTTTACGTACATCATGCGGAGTTACGAAGGCTTCATCATTATAATCATCGATGATCGAAAGCAATGGTAAGGTGTATGCAAAAGATGCACCCTGTAATATTCTTCATGTTCTTTTTCACTTGAAGTTGAGAGAGTATCTAATACAGTAGATTTTTCAGATTCGAAATCGTAATAAGTTCCATTATTTTCTGATATCTTTCCAGGTTCCATCGACAATGAATCACCGACGCAAAATAAAATATAATGAAACAAATTAGAAAACAGAAAAATGATTAAAGAAAGCAACTTTGTTTTGTTCCAATAATGGGAAAGATTTAGACATGGTGCAGGTTCAACTCATTTTCAATAAACATTAAAAAAACCGTTAAGTGAGCTTAGTTTTATAAGCACATGCATGAGTTTCAAATAACAAGATACTTGGTAAACTTAATAAATGATATTTTTTTCACTTAAAATAGATGGTAGCTTTCACTCATGTCGAGGTGTATTTTAAATAACCTTTAGGGGGCTTGGTTTACGGAAAAAAATATTACTAAGATAATAGTCTTTTTCGAAATTATATTCTCACATTTGATTCACGAAAAAGATTATTATCAAAAAATAATATTTTCTCAATAATAGTATTTTTTGGTTAAAATGGTGAAAATGTCATTACCTTCAAAGTCTTAGATATTAGACAATTTCCATCACTTTGGACAAGAATGCCTTAGACTAATGAATTCTTTTTATAATGATCATTTTTAATTTTTAATTTTTGTACTTTACTCAAAATTATAAATATGATAATAATATACAAAGAGCTTAATTTAATAAATTTGAGTATTTAAAATTATTTTATATTTTTAATATTCAATATATTAATTATTTATAATTTTATGAGATAAAAAATATGATTGTAAAAATATAATTATTTAAAATCTCTAACTTTGAGTTATTAAAAAATAGATCTTATACATTGAAAAATAATATCAGTCCACTTGAGATTATAGTATTATTTTTTCATATTATATTATATTATATTTATATAAATAAATAAATATAATGCTTATAAAAATTATTTAAAAATATAAGTTTAATACACTAATTATATATTAAATATATTTTCTCAAAACCTAGATAGTATAACGATTAAAATATTTTTATAAATTTTCATGCAAATATTTCTAATTTAATATTAAAATTTAACTTTTAAAAAAACATATGCCACAAGGATAATTTGGTAAAATATACATTTAAGTATTTTATATTACTCTAACCAAACACTGCAATTTTACATTCATGCTAAACAAACCAAATAAGTTAATACAACATTCTCATAGTAATATTACATTTCAGTAATATTATTTCTAAAGATAATCTTATATTCCGTAAACCAAACGCCTCCTTAATGGATCCGCCAGTGATTGTCGGTGTCGGAAGGTCGGTGGCACAAGAGAACCGAGCTGCTGCAAAATTGTTCCAATAGACTGCAATGGATGTCATAGGAAGTTAAGCCAATGAACCTAAGCAGATAAAACAAGTGCAGCCATAGTGCCATACTCCACATTACAGAATAGAATTGAAGTAATTTAAGATTGTGAGTAAACTGACATCAGCTGATGAAACAAATGAAGCACCTATCTTCCCCAACACATGGCTAGCAGCTGCATCTTAAGTTAGGTAAGGAGAGTACACATTGAATTAGCGATAAGCCTAATCCCTGCTGAGCGTCACTAATCAGTTGCACCACAGTCTCGTCCCTGCTGAGTGTTACTAATCAATTGCATTGCAGTAGCATTGTCACTTTTCACCAGGGAATATAGGTTAGACGACATTTTTCATCACCTTTCACACTTCTAAAATGCTGTGGAATTTGATTCTCACTATATCTAATCCCTACATTCGTCATCACCTTTCACACTTTGAATTCATTTTTGAAATATTATAGATTGGTAGAAGTAGGATTTTTAGTTAGGAGCGAACTTGAACTTATAAAATTTTAAGGAGCGAAAATATATTTTCAATAGAAAATACATAGAAAAATTCTAAAATATATGATAATTTTAAATTTTTAGAGGGGCGACCGCCCCCACCCACTCCTCCCTAGGTCCGCCCCTGATTGCTGGTATGCAAATAGTCATAAAAAATTATAATTAATGATTACAAATAGGGGTGTTCAAATGGTTAATTCGGCCACCGATTGAATCAAATTACTATTAACCGAATATTGAAAAAATATTAATCATTCTGAGACCGAACTAATTCGGTGGTAGATCAAATTAGCCGAACTAGTTCGGTTCGGTGTTAATTCGGTTAAAACCGAAAAGTGAACACCCCTATAATTACAAAATAAATATATATAAAAGATATTAGGAGATCATTATTTATTTCATAGGTGAATTCCATGAAGTTAAGCATAGGTTCAACAACTAAATGAAAATACGACCACAAAGACAACAAGAAACCGCAATTTATACTTGTAAATCAACACACCACTTAAGTAGCACTAGGCTCTAGAATCTGCAAAATACAACAATATTCTCATGCACAAAGAAAATGGTAGATTATATCAGTTTTCAAGAGGATTGAGAACGTGGCCAATAAATGTTGTGGAATTCGGGTTAATTTCCACCAATAATAACAAATTCACCTTGAAAACTATTATCTAGGTGACTAGTGTGAAAATGATTGTACTAAAAATCACCCCAAGGTAGATTCCCATGAAAGAGGAGGGGTCACAATGGTCCATGTTAAAATCCACTTTCCTTAGACAGAACTATCAAGATAAGTAATTTTAATAGGACAATAATTAACAACAACTATACCCGACAATAGCTATTAAATAGACATAAAGAGAACACCAAAATTTAACGAGGTTAGGCCAAAATTATGCCTACCTCTTCGAACACTACTAAAATAATATTTCACTAATAGAGGAAATATTACAAAGAGAGAAAGAGTACAAATAGCCTTTAATAGTGAAGAAGGCTTATATTTGTGGGATGTTAAACTAAGGAGGAAGAGGGCTCTATTTATAACAAAAGAATTTTCCCTCCTCCTTATACACAACTAATGTGGGATTTTGCCAAAAAACCAACAAATCTCCACCTTGGCAAATTCCACACACATCTCTAAAAAATCTAATCTTTAGTAGTGACTGCAAATTCATCTTTCAATATGTAACAATATTGAGCAAGTCTAAACAATGTTTAAACTTGACCGCAGTTACCACTTTTGTCAACATATCAGCAGGATTCTCAGTGGTCCGAATCTTCTGGATTATGACTCCACCTTCTTCTAGAATCTCTCGTACAAAGTGATATCGAACATCGATGTGCTTCGTCCTTGCATGGTAAACCTGGTTCTTTGCTAAATGAATAACACTCTAACTCTCACAATTCACTTTGATGTGCTTCTGTTCTATTCCCAATTCACCAAGTAACCCATGAAGCCAAATTGCCTCCTTCACAGCCTCTGTAACTGCCATATACTCTACCTCTGTAGTAGACAAAGCCACTGTTGACTGTAAGGTGGACTTCCAACTGACTGTTGCCTTTGCAAATGTAAACACATAACCAGTAGTTGATCGACGCTTGTCCAAATCACCTGCATAGTCTGAATCATAATACCCAACTACACACTGACCATATTGTTTGTCCTGCTGAAACGCCAAACCAACATTTACGGTGTTCAGAATATACCACATAATCCATTTCACAGCTTGTCAATGCTCATTTCCAGGATCATGCATATACCTGCTCACAACCCCAACTACCTGTGAAATATCGGGTCTTGTACACACCATTGCATACATCAAGATACCAACACCACTTGCATACGGAACCTTTGACATGTATTCCCGTTCTGCATCATCCTTAGGTGACATGGATGCACCGAGCTTGAAATGAGGAGCAAGAGGTGTACTAACTGGTTTTGACTTCTCATTCATGCCAAAATGTTTTAGTACCTTCCTCAGATATTCTTTCTGAGACAAACAAAGCCTCTCCGATTTCTTATCCCTTGATATCTCAATGCCTAGAATCTTATGCGCTTCACCAAGATCCTTCATCTCAAACTCCCTATTCAATTGATTCTTTAGTTTCACAATTTCTGTCT